TGTACCCCCTCCCCTGGACACCCCCCCCACTGAACCCTGTACCCCTCCCTGGTAATCCCCACGCCTTCAAACATTTTTGCCCAGGGAACTGGATAACATCAACTATGCTGAGCAACTCCAAGAGGTGAGGGGAGGTTACGGGGTGGGGGTGGGAAGCAGCCCTGGGCTGTGAAGGAAGCTTGCGATGGGGTCCCTTTCCCACTCCCTTTCCCCCCAGGAGACCTTCTCTGAGAACGACATGGACCAGGACTTCATACACCTATTTGAGATAGTTGCAGGAAAGGTGAGGCGGGGCGGGCTGGGGGCTGAAGGGTGGTGATGGGGGGTGAGGGCCGGAGCAGGGGCTTACGGTCCTCCCCCTAGGACAAGGAGGTCGGCATGTATGACCTCCAAAGGCTGCTCAACAGGATGGTCGTCAAACGTGAGTCCTTCCACCGTGCTTCACGTTGCCCCGCACCACGCCCCCGACCACTCTCTCCCCACAGCTCCTCCTCCTCCGTCTCTCCTTCCTGCCCCTCCTGTCCTCACAGTCAAGCACCTCAAAACCAAGGGCTTCGGCCTGGACGCTTGCCGCTGTATGGTCAACCTCATGGATGTATCTTCTTGTCCAGTGGGCAGTCCCGTCCGGGGCTCTCCTGCCCCTGTCCCCCTCCCCCTAAGCCTGGCCCAGGTAGGGCCACCTCCCTGGCCAGCCATCCCCTCCTTCCTGATGGGATTAGACCCTGGGCTGGCCAAATGCCGGTTCTCCTGGTGGTTTCCATGCCGAGACCCTGGGTCTCGCATACCCCCTCGGTGGGTCCTCTGCTGTCCCACCGCCAGGATGTCCCTTTCACTCCCTCCTCTGCTATCCTTGACCACCCCCCAGAGAGACGGCTCTGGCAAGCTGGGGCTTCTGGAGTTCCAGATCCTGTGGAAAAAAATCAAGAAGTGGACGGTAAAGGGCACCGGAGGGACAGTCTGCAGGGCTGAGGAGAGGAGGGTCTCGGGAGGGATTAGTCAGGGTGAAATGGCAACTGGAGCCCCCAGCTACACACGCGCGCACACACACACACACACACACACACACACACACGGACAAGACCCATAGGCCAGCCGGTGGCCTGGCGGTTAAGGCGGCTGGATCCCACGTGGCCGACTTCATGATGTGAGTCCTGGCCCCAGTGGTTTGAGGAACACAGTGGGCGCGTGTGCCCAAGGTCCTGGGGGCAAATGGAGGAGAAGGGGTTGGGGCATGGCCATCCCCTTGGGAGGTGATTTCTCACTTTCCCTCTCTTGCTCTGCCTCTTTTCAGCAGGCACACACACCCTCTCCTAGAGCAAACTTTAAAAAGTAAAAGAAGAAAGAAAAGACCATAAGAGGAAAGGGTCTGTAGAGGCCTGGTGTATTAGCTACTCAAAATATTTAACAACTGGAATAGCCCAGGACCCCGCCAGTCACAGGATGCGCTGGGAGAGCCCTGGACAGGGTACCCGCAGCCGTGCTATGTGGGAGCCCTCAGTCACTGCATGACAGGGACCGGGGGAGCTCGCGGAGCCGGCCAGGGTCTGAGGCCTCGGGCAGCTGCCCCGAGCTGACCCCGACCGCATTGAGGTGTATCGTCTTTCACCCGCGGCGCCCCCCACACAGCCCTCCCCCGTCTGTCTGCTCCCCCAGGACATCTTCCGCGAGAGCGACCAGGACCACTCGGGCTCCTTGAACTCCTATGAGATGCGCTTGGCCATCGAGAAAGCAGGTGGCGGGGTCCGGAGAGGGCTTGGGCCAGAGAGGGGAAGGCAATGGCCGGGGCCTGGGTTCTCCCCTCGGCGCTCCTCTCTGTCCCAGGCATCAAGGTGAACAACAAGGTGATGCAGGTGCTGGTGGCCCGCTATGCAGACGATGACATGATCATTGACTTCGACAGCTTCGTCACCTGTTTCCTGAGGCTGAAGGCCATGTTCAGTGAGTCAGGCGCCTGCCCGCTCCCCCTACCCCCAGCTGAGTAGGGCCGCCCCAAGGAGCCCTGCTCCAGAACCACTCTGAGCTGGGCTCTGGTCCCAGCCCCTGGCCCTGCGACTGGAGTGTGTCACTTTCTCTTTGCCTCTGTCCCCTCCCCTGTGAAATATGGTGATAATAACACTGCCCTCATAGCACAAGTCTGCCTGTGAAAGTGCCCAGAACACAGACTGACTCCTAGCTAGGCTATTTGACGCGTCAATTTTTTTTTTTTTTTTTGAGAGAGAGATTTTTGCTATAGGCAGCGTGCGCTCGCCAGAGAGACAGAGAGGGAGAAAGCAAGAAATCAGCCCCCTAGAGGGGATGGCCACACCGCAATCCCTTCTCCTCCATTCTCCTCTCTGGATCTTGGGTATGCACGTGCACGTGCCCAGCGTGAGTTTTAAGCTGCCGGGTCTGGGACTCGAACTGCAATGGGCTATGTATGTGGGAGTCCGGAGACGTAACTGTTACGCCATCTTCTGGTCCCTACGAGTTGTTAATTAATTCTCGGCTGGGCTGGGAGATTTTTCTGGAGAGCACCAAGGAGCAACTTCTTACTCCCTTCCTGACACCCTGCTTAGTGGGGGGTGTCTTTCCAACTATTGACAGGTCTCATCCTTTTTCCCCCACCTCCACCCCAAAACAGCATTCTTTCTGACCAAGGACCCCGAGAATACCGGCCATATTCGCTTGAACATGGAACAGGTACATGGGAGGGGTGGGCAGGGATGGGGTGTGTCCCTGCCCCCCACCTCTCCCCAGCCTGATCTGCCTCTTCTCCCCACCCAGTGGCTGCAGATAATCATGTGGGGATAGAGGCACCACAGGAGCCTGGCTCCCTGCCACCCTGCCATGGAGGGCGGGGTGCCCCTGTAGCCCTCACTTCTCCGGTCTCTGCTGATGGGATGGGCTCCAGATGGCCGTGCCTGGGCCCTAAATGCCATGTGCACTCAGTAGAGGGACCTCTATGGCCGCCTTCCCAGCTCGGAGGGCTTATCGTTTTCCCCAGCCAGGCCTCTGCTGGCCGGGTGCACTCCACGGTCTGTCTCTAAGTCTATCATAGTGATTAAGAGATGCTTCCTGGGTGGCCCCTGGCTGGGTAGGCCAAGAAGAGGGACAGGGCTTGTAGCCACTTGGTACCCCCAGCCTTCTGTCCTGCTCGCACCTGCCTGCTGAGCACCCCCTGGCATGGCCTCTCTCCTCTCCCTCCAGTGCTGACGCTCCTGTAATAAACAGCACGTACCATTGGCTTCCTGTCTGTGTTTCCAGGCCAGGGAAAGACTGGCGGGGATGGAAGTCACTTCCTCTGCACCCCAGAGGGGCTTCAGTCACTCTCAGGCAGAGTGATACCACCCCACCTCCAGGGCGCGTGGAGGAATTTGCGGCTGCCATGTGACTAGGAGACACATTGGCACCAGGGCAGTGCCAGGACACTGAGCGCTCAGCAGTCCCTCCGGGGAAGGAGCGCAGTGTGCCATGTCCTGGGACAGCTGTCAGCAAGGCTGGGACTGTGGCTGGCAAAGTTAGGGGCCGCAGGACCCTGGGCCTCGGCTCTCATCCCCTCCCTCAAGCCGGGGTCCCCAAAGGTGGCTCTGTAGGGGCTTGAAGATCACAAATCCAATACTCGCAGCAGCCAGCAGAAATGAACAGGCCCATCTGTGAGAGGCGAGGACTGTGGCGACAGGTGGGCTCAGGCCTGCCTTGAAGGAGTTCAGGTTCAAATCCTTACCACTGTTGTCAGAAAGTTGCTGCCTGGGGCCAGCTGGTGGCTTGGAGGGTAAGGCCTGGATCCCGCATGGCCAACCGGGCGTGTGTGCAGGTACAAAATCCCTAGAGGAGCGTGGAGGAGATGGGATTGCTGTGGGGCCTTTCCCCCTGGGAGGTGATTTCTCACTTTCCCTCTCTCTCTCTCCCTCTCTCTCTCTGTCTCTGACCAGCACACATGCCCTCTAGCAAAACTAAAAAAAAAAGAAAAAGAAAAAGAATAACGAATAAAAGAAGAGTGCTGCTTATGGAGGGACCAAGGGATGGGTCTTTGGTTCTTGACCTTGGAGTCTGCCCCCATGTCTCCCCCACCCCGGCCCCAGCCTGCTGCGGAAGTGGGAGGACCAAGGCCACCACGCCAGCCCCTGAGCCGCACTTCTGCCCATCCACATCTCTCCGTCCTCCCCTGTCTCTGGCAGGGACAGTGGGACCTGGGCACATGAGCTTTGCAGCTTCTCAAGTACAGACAGCCCTCGACTTCCCTGAGATTAGAGACCTGTCATCCCCACAATCTAAATCCTTCCTGTTGCCAGACGGATCTCAGCTGTCTGGGGTGACCAGTTTCCAGTCTCCTCCTGCACTCGCTCTGCAGCTTCCTTCTGCGGGTACTAAGGCACCCCACGTGCGCTTCCTGGGGCGGCCGAGATGCCAATCTTCATTGATCTGATGATTCTCTGCACCGCTCTGCCCTGCATGACCTCGAAGATGAGAGCCTAGTTAGCCTGACTACAAAGCCACCCCTCTCTCCCTGTGGTTATCCACCACGTCCTGAGGGAGCCTGCCTGTCCCCACCCCGTCGCCAGTCTAATCTAGCAGAGGAGGAGGAGCCTCTCACTCTCCTTTTTCTTTTAAAGAATTATTTTATTTGACATTAATTTGACATTAATTAATTAATTAATTAATTTATTTATTTATTTTATTTTAACCAGAGAGGGACAGAGTGAGTGAGAGAGGGAGAGTGAGAAAGCAAGCCACCCGGTCCGGGATTCAAACCACTGTCAGCCATGTGGGAGTCTAGCACCCTTAACCACTACACCACCTGCCGGCCCCTCTCTTTTTTATACGTGTATGTATTTATTTCTTCCATGAACCAGTAAGCAGGCAAGAGAGAGAAAAACAAGCACTCAGAAGAGTTTTCTTCCTTTTTCAAAATGTATTTATTTAATGTTTACTTATTTATTATTATTATTTTTTATTTGCTATGGGGCATGTATGCTCACCAGAGAGAGACAGAGAGAAAGTGAGAAAGCAAGTAGCCAGGTCTGAGACTCAAACTGCAGTCTACTATGTGGGACTCCAGGGCCCCAGCCACCATGCCACCTGCAGCACACTGCACCTCCAGCCTCAGGCGGCCCCGATCACAGGCGATGCCCAGCACATAGTGAGGCCACGAGATGCAAACCTGGGACCTTCCCACGTGGGGCCAGCATCGCAGAGCCTTGTCTTACTGCTGCACCTTTGGCTGCCCCAGGAGCCTCCTAAAAGACAGCGGCACAGTGGTAAAACACAGCACTCTGTGGGTGACCCACGGGGAGGGCTCCAGGTCCAGAGTGCCCCCGAGCATGCCAGGCGTGACCCCCTGATCCAGGGCTGGCTGAAGCTGGGAGTAGAGTGCGTTGTCAAGACCTTGTCAGGGGTGTCGTTTCACTCTTGCTCTCTCTCTCACATGTGGAAGGAATAAACTTTTTTAAAAAGACCGGTGGGGTCAGCAGGTGATGTGGTGTTAAGGTGCTAGATTCCTACATGGCAGACTGCGATTTGAGTCCTGGACCTGGTAGCTTGAAAATCACGCCAGGTGCATGCGCATGTGCCTAAAATCCCAAGAGGAGAATGGAGAAGGGATTGTGGCACGGCCACCCCTCCGGAGGATGATTTCTCACTTTCTCTCTCGGTTTCTAGCAAGTGCACATACCCTATGGCAAAAACATTAAAAAAACAAAAATAGATTTTCCCCCACCCCCACATCTTTCCTCTCTGAGAGCTGACAGCCGCTGTTCTCCACAGAGCTTCTCTCTCTCAGAGGTCTCTGGGGTTGGGGGAGAGGGCATGGGGCAGTCAGGGAAGTCATACAACTAGCAGTCCTTTGGGCTCCTGAGAGGTCCCACAGTCCAGCTGGACCTGGGAACCCCAAGAAGATGCTAACACAGCCCCTATTCCTTGCCCTGGGGGTGACGCTGCCAAGGCCAGCCAGGGTGGGTGGGAAGTAGGAAACTCCCAAATCAGGACCATCGTGTCTGGGCTGTCCCGAACCTGAAGCGACTCACAAGGTCACGACGGAGTGGCTCCAGGCAGATGTTCACTGGCCACTCGCTGGCTGGCCCAGGGGAAGCTATTCCTCTAACACCATCTTGTTCTCACGCCGGTCAGGGCCGACCACGACCACGTGCATCCTGGAGGGCTGCTGTGTGGAGCTAAGGCATGTGAGGCGCTAAAGCGCAGCATTCTCTTTCCACCTCAGTATTATCCACAATCGTGGAAAAAACCCTCTCACTGGAGACACATCAGCTAGTACACAAGATAAAGTACCAGAAGCTCTTGAACTAACCCACACAAAAGGCATGAGGCTAGGATGTCAAATAAGGGAGAGACACATGGAACTTAGACGAGGTCTTGACACTAGTGAGTGTTTACTGGCATTAACGTTATCAGTGGACTGGCTCCGTGGCCTGGTTAGTGGGCCACATGGCCTACCACACAGCTTGAGTCCTGGTCCTGGCGGCTTGAGAAACGTGTTGTGTGTGTGTGTGTGTGTGTGTGTGAGTGTGTGTGTGCCCAAAATTCTGAAAGGAGAGAGAGGTGGAGGAGAAGGGATTGCGGTATGACCATGCCCCATAGGGGGTGCTCTCTCTCTCTCCCTCTCTGTCCTCTGTCTCTCTCTGGCTATTGCACATGCCCTATAGCAAAAAAAAAAAAAATCAGAACCAAAAATTTAAAAAGTTATCAGTGTTGGTTATATACAAGAATTCTCTTAAATAGGGAGTATGGGGGCCAGCAGGTGGCATGGTGGTTAAGGCACTGGATTTCCATGTGGCCAACCACAGTTCGAGCTGCAGACCTGGTGGCCTGAAACACACACCAGGTGTGTATGCCCAAAGTCCCAGGAAGGGAATGGGGGAGAGGCAATTGCGACATGGCCATTCTCCCTGGGGGGAGATTCCTCACTTTCCCTTTCTCTGTCTCTCTCTGGTGAGTAAACGTCCTCTATGACAAAACTAAAAAAGAAAAAAAGGAGTCTGAGGCACGCCATGCTTCTAGCCCCTTCTACCACTCCCCCAGCCCAAGTCCACCCACCTCTTTCCCTGGGAGGCCGTCCTCACCCTGTCCTCACCGCCAGGCGGCCCGCATTTCTATCCCTCCCTCTGGTCCCTGCCTGGTTCCCCTACAGCACCTGCTGGCTGACCTGGACTGAGACCACGCGGAGGTACAGCTCCCACCTCTTACGACTAACTGCCACTCCCACAGCGGCTGCCTCAGGTTCCCCCACAGCCCCTCCGCAGGCCCTCATTCCACTGCGGGGACAGAGGCCGCATCAGAGTCACGGCCACCCCCCACTTCTGCCCTCCCTCACAGTATTTCCAGAGCTTCGTCCTCTGGGCTCTGAGAAAGCGGGGTCTCAGAGCTGGGGTACCTCTCAACAGCTAGAAGCAACAGGCTAGACACCACGCAGCACCTGTGGAGCCTGGAAACGTACCGACTCAAAGAAGATAAAGCAGAAGGGGCTCATTAGCTTTTAAAAATATTTTTTAAAGAGATTTTTGCTATGTACATGTGCTCACTGGAGAGAAAGAGAGAGACAGAAAGAGAGAAATCACTCCCCGGGGGAGATAGCCACGCCACAATCCCTTCTTCCTTCTCCTCTAGAGATATTGGGCACACATGCACATGCACCCGGCGTGAATTTGAAGCCTCCGGGTCCAGGACTCGGACCATGGTCAGCCACGTGGGACTCCGGCGATGCAACCATCACGCCATCTGCTGGTCCCAACATTTTGGTTTTTGAATTGCAGTAAAAGAGCCACCCCTATGGCACCAGGGGTTAAGGGAGCTGGCTCCCACATGGCTGATGGTGCAGTTCAAATCCCAGACTCAGCAGCTTCAAAAACATGCCAGGCATATGAGCATGTGTGCCCCAAATCCCAGCAGGTTGAAGAAATAGGAGAAGGGATTGCCGTTCCCCCAGAGGTTGTCTTCTCGTCTTCTCTCTCTGTCTTTCTCTGGCAAGCACACACGCCCTCTGGCAAATTTATTTATTTTTTTTTTTAGAGAGAGATTTTACTACACTTGCACTCACTGGAGAGATAGAGACAGAGAGACAGAAAGTGAAAAAATCTCCCCCTTGGGGGAGGGCTACACTGCAATCCTTCTCTCCCATTCTCCTCTGAAGATCTTGGCCACACACTCACACCCAATGTGAGTTTTAAGCCACTGGGTTCAGGATTCGAACCATGGTCAACTCTGGGAGTCCAGCAACGACCATTAC